ATGAATAAAACANTCAATTTTATTTTGCCATTACAGGAGGAGGAACGGATGCATGTCTGTGCCAACTTTGAACTCCAAACTCGACTTATTTTCATCAATATAATGCGCATAAATTACGACCCAATACATAATGCTACTAAGCAAAAGAGCGCAAAACGTAATTCTGTTCATTTCGGAGAGGAGCCAGCATAAATTGCTTTCCTCTCGTTTATTTTTGTTTCCTTCATTCCGAAACCCCCGTCGTTGTTTTCCTCTCGCTTCCTCTTAAATTATATAGAAAATTCGAAACTCGATATTTCGCGTCTTCCGAGGAATAAGTAGTTAGATTTGACAAATAAGATACGTCGCCTGGAGACAGTCCTGACTCCCCTGTCAGTTTCCCTGTATATTGTTTCTATCCGCCACATGTATATATGTATGCATGTGTGTATATGTATACGTACACATACACATACGTATATACGATTGTGAGTATTTTTATACCCTGTTGTGAGCAAACGGAAACACGGTGTTGCACTTTAAACTCTCATGTGTGTTTATGTACCGGGGACGGAATGGGAAAGAAAAAGAACCTCGCCTAAGACAATATAATAAAGCACTAGTTTTGGAATTTCACAAACGCAAAAAAAGGTAAAAGGGGACACGGACGGATGGAAAAGAAGACTAAGATAAAGAGAGAAAATAAAACAATAGGGCAGCAACAACATCAAACGCACCTTTAAATATTTATAGCTGTATTGAAACCACTTTGGCACTTTGACAGAGCGAAAAAGGAAATAGCGTAAATAAGCGAAATCTGTTTTTCTTCTTTGTTTCCCTGTCAGTTTTACTCTCCTTTCAACTTGCAAACCAAATAAAAATTGGATATTCGATATCAGAAGATATCAACTTATTTTTATATATTCAAAGATGAAAGATCATTCTCACATTTTTATAGATTATATTAATAGATTATAATGAAAGCACTTTTAAATTATGTATGAAAATTATTAAAAATACACATATTTTTATATAAATAATTATTGCTTAATATGAATACGAAAAGAGCAAAATATAATGTAAAATTTTCAATTGGATTTACATTTGAATCGTTTCTATATAATTTGGAATTTATATAAATATGTTAAATTAGGATATATTTTTTTTTTGTATCCTTGTAGATCCTGGTTTTTAAAGATGATTGATCTGTAGGCGAGATCCGATATAAAATTCACACTTTCTCCAAGATTTATTATCATAATCCAACCGAGTTTATTAACATGTTGTAAATATAAATAGGATTACCATAATCCTCGATTGATTACGATCGGTCGCATGTGGAAAGTCCGTGAGTTTGAAATGGAAGTAACACAAATACCGTGAGCATCGTTAGTCGAAATTTGTAGGAAAACGAGATGGTTAATCCTGTTAAAATAAGTTTGCCGATTATTCGGCATTCGGTTGGGTCTCTTGTATTCCGCAGTCCCCCGCCAACGCCGCCGGTGTTAGATGAAGTTTACTGTTGCATAAACCATTTAACATACATCTATGACGAAGTTAGCTGCTGCGGTATTCAAATGTGCAATGCCATCGCACCGCTCTCGTGGTAAGTCCTACCTCCAGTCGCAGCCACCATCATCCCCTTCGAGACCCATCCATCCCCCTTCGGAACAGAGATCCGATAAAGACCAGGTGAACTGGCACTTAATAGCAACACGGAAAGAATTCACAATAAGAAACTCAACAGGCACATAAAATTTATGCCCTCCCTCGGAACGAAAGAAGGAAAAAAAAACTTTATATATCGATTACTTTTTTTTCTCGGAGGATTCAGTAAATCGAAGCCTCATCATAAACAGATCATCATAAATACTTGCCAGGTTATTGTTACAATTTTAAATTTATTACCTATCATTTATTATTTTTGATTTATATGACTTCAAACATTAAATATAATTATATTACAAAATAGGTATAAAATACAATTAATCCAAGTATACATTTTTTTTCAAGACTTAAACTGAAAATGTAGAACAGTTCTATCATTAACTAATATTGCAATTCATTATAAGTTGAAATAAAGTGTATTGTAATTTTATAGTAATTAAATAGCTTAATTAAGATGTCCAAATTTTTCTATTTAATTAATTATTATTAATATGTGTCAAATTATTATTGCAATATTAAATTTATCGTCTTTAATTAATTGATTTTAAATTACTATCAGTTAAAATGAAAATCGAATAGTAACTTACAATTATATTACTGTGTGAATGCTATAATTAATTGAAGTATATTTATATGTATACGTCGAGTTGCATGTATATTATTCTCATTAACTTATAGATTGAATTTCATAAGTCATAAACTGAAAGAAGAAATAAAAAAGGATGATGAAAAGAGTTGAAACAGCGTCGGCAAGGAATATTAAAACATACGAATTACAAAATGATTCCAGTGAATTTATGAGGTAATCAAATTAACACGAAAGGCGATAAATAACAATTATCTGCCGTCCTCCCATAATGAGTTCGTATTATCTTTTAATTTTTCCTCTTGCCTTCTTTACATTTTCATCTCTATATAATCATTTTTTTTGTTGTAATCTTCAGACATGCAAGATGAAAACTTCCAGTTTAGTTATTATTCACAGCGCCGTTGCAGGAAATGAATCTCAGTTTGATTTGTGCTTCCTTCGCAGATAAAACTGATAGGTTCTGTAATTTATACCTGCAGTGGAAGTATAGGTAGTACCTATATAGGAGGAATAAAAAGAGTTGAACGAAACGAGTGTACTTTGCCTTTTATTTTCGTAGCGAAAACTGGAACATAAATAAGCGTCGCATGCATGCGCATATTCATATCGATGATTGAATCGACGTGCAAGTGACATGTGGCTTTCCAATGAGCGACTGTCAGAGATGTATAGTCGCGGATGCAAACCGTTAAAGACAAAAGCGCTTTTGGTTCGGGGAAATTTCATTAAGCCATCGCACTTAGAAGCCACCGTATTTATTTGTTTGATCGCATGGGGGGAGGTTTGTCACATCGGGATGCTCGAAGAACGGGATGGAAAGGGACTGACTGAAATGCTTTCGAACTTCGTTACATCCGAAACCCAATACGCCTCGAGCTACGATTTCCTTTCCAAACATTCATTGGCTTCAACTTTCGTACGCACGTTACAAATTATGAATGAGTTACACGTGCATCCTCCTCATAATTAATAAACAATAAACACAACTCTCTGTTCAATTGCGGCTTTATAAATAACCGCATCCCACATGTTTCAAAATATATGTGATTTAGATAACGTCTCATATGTGACTAGGTTCTAATGAGGAGGAAGAAAATCCATTGTGACAATGCCGAGAATATATTAAACATCATAAAAGGGCATTGATTTCAAAAGCCACTATAAATAAATTTCCTCTACAAATGGTAAAACACGGAAACTGTTTAAAAAAAAATAACTTGGAAAGTTCTATTGAAAATAATCTTATCGACCAATTTAATATAAACACTTAACGAAATTCATATCTAAATAAATCATTCTCCAATACTTAGATTTAAGTAATCGATATCGTTTATTAAGTAAATGTTAGTGTATAGAATATATAAAAATCGATTATATAAATATAAATTAAATCATATCAACTTGTTGAGCAAACATATAAAAAGAAAATGTAAGGAAGCTGTAGTAATTTTGCTGACATAATTGAACAATGCTGAAAGCGGATATAAAGTTCCCAGAAGACTTTTATTGGATTACATTTTCTTCTTAATCCAAAGTATTGGATCGAATTACATTTATATACTTTTTATATTTATTTCTTTTGAATTGCATTTTTTATATTATTACGAAAAAATAAAATATATAATTACTTTTCTGATGAAAGTTAGACAATTGGAAATGTTCAATTGATTGGTTCATGTTTATTGATTGTGTTAACCAATGACATTTATTAAAGGTTAGGTTTTGATTAATTTTGCACTTTTCCATAAACTAATTAGCCAATAAATTTAATTAGCAAATGTTTGGAAAATCCGAATTTCGCGTGGATTATTTTTTGGGTACTGATATATGCACAGCGGCGGAATACAATTGAATTACGGGATGGCAACAATAAGCATAAATCGATTTTCACGAAAAAGTGGGAATAAATTAGCAATTAGTTTGTATTTATGGTTCTGAGGGTATGGAGCGTTACGTTTTGTTGCATTTGGGGGTAAAATATTAATGAGTGCGTACGTTTTGTATGCACGTATACGTACAAATATTGTGGATGTACAACAATAACAATTGATTTCGAGGCAATGTCGCAGTACAAAATCGTGGTGAATATTTTGGACAATTAAGACAGTTGCATTAAATATGATTTATTGTTTGGGGTGCGCTGATGCGGATCTTAGGCTAGACACTTGTAATGTATGCGAAATTACTTTAATTGTTTTGAGTAGAATAGGTCTGACCTGTTTCGTTAATCCATTGCGAAGTTAACGTATATATGTGCCCTGCAAGCTTATCCGGGACACACGAATTTCTATTGTTCGCTTCGCTTTTCACGCCACTGCATTTTCAGCGCCAGAAATTATTACAAAGGACAATTATTCTACCGTGATTTCTGCCACACAGTTTGGTAATTCAGAACAAAACGGGATGGAATTGTACACGCCTGTGTAGCTATAATTAATTGTTTCCCTAGGTATATTACATTTTATAAGCTTGTAATTGTTCTGAGCGCTGCATGCATACACGCGCGTCGCGTCGTCTGGCTTTCTTTCTTTTATACCTCTATATACTATATTCCTCCATCATCCTCGCTTCTTCCTTCCTCGCAGCAGTTATAAACCGGGAGGCGTCGAAACGTGGGAATGAAATTAGAGGCGAAGCGCGAAAGATAAACATAGGTGGGCGAGAGGGAAACGAAAGAAGGAAAAATGGAAAAGGTAAAGGCAGGCACGGAGCATCAACATTCGAAATGGAAGTGCAGTTGTGGCTGTACTTTAGCTGTACTTACATGCGACTTCGACGGCGGCTGGTTGACTCTTGATGGTACCTCTGCCATTCCACGCGTGACATTCGCATTTGAATTTCTCTTTGCCGAAAAACTCCTCCACCATGTCTCTGGTCACGTTCGCCTCGGCTTCAACGAACCTTACACCTGACATCGGATCCACGATGTCCATCAGCCTTGTTTCCACTTTACGAGCGCCGTTGCACTTAAAATATATCTGGAGGGTGTGAGCGGCTCTGCACTGTAATAGGGCAGGCCTGTTTTTCACGACGTACGAATCCTTCGGTTCCAGGAGAAATATCGGCAGGGAGTCAGAGTTCAGCAGGAGTGATTCGTCTGGCTCCGAAGTTGATGGTTTTGTCGGCTCTGCGTCTTCCAGCAGCGAACCGTCTGTAACGAAAGAATTAAGGCTTTAATTAAAAGGGATTTATCGGGTTCGCCGTCGTTTTTCTCGCAATCGAATCCCTTTCGCACGTAACAGGATTAACAATAAAACAAGAAATTCTCCCCATCTTCCTTTTCGCTCACTCAATGTACACCCTCCAAGCATCCGAAATATCAAAGCCACTCACACTTTCAATATCATTACAATTTTTCTATTATACATTTACATTTAACCAAGTAATAAATATAAATTTAGAGCATGTTTATAATAACATAAAAAATTATAAATATTTCGTATCCAAAATATAACAATATTTTATGTTAAATTATATGAAACTTTTGTTAATAAATATTTGAATTACTCAAACATTGAAAATGCTTCTATTTCATACTAAGAACATGACGGATGAGTCAATCTATAAAAGTATACTATTTATTAGAAGGTTACAGGTAATTTAGATTGTTTTTTTAGGTACTGAAAGATCGACAACACATATCCATTCTGAATGTTTTCAGAAATCGCCGTTCCACCAATCGTTTCAGTCCATCCACAAGGTATGCATCATAAATTAATCCAAACGGTTTTGTTGCGTGCAACGATAATGTAACGCTTTAGATAACTCACGTGTTGAGACAAATGCTAGATAATTTTCATGCTAGCAGCAGTGATAAACGGCCTTCCGATTTTCATTAATTTCCGCGTGATTCTTTTCATTTCCACCTTCTAATTGAACTTGTCGTCAAGGCGTGTATCTAGATCGAAAGCAATCAATAATAACCGTTGCATTTACATCAAGTGCCATTTACAAATCATCCCATTTCGCCTCGGAACAAAAACAAAAGTGAGAAAAATAGCAGACGGAATATATTTTTCTCGCACACGGGATTGAAAAGGAATTTACATTTTTGAGAAACGCTAAGCCGAGTGGTTTATAATGGTTCAGGCCCTTTTCGCGCACCCTTCGTTAAATATATTCATTACATCTGAAATTCCCAGTCAGATATTCGAAAATAAAGTGAAAAACTACTGCAACATAATTCGCTCCATTAGCGAGGTTTTACATAAACTCATAAAACATTAATGTGCTTCCGCCGAACGGAGTATCGGAGTATGTTATTACACCTGCCTTATTTTCTGTTTTAATTAATTATCGAAAATTATACAGACCATAAAGTTTATATCAAATATTTTATTTCTCAACTATTTCGCCCATACAATTCTGATATTCAGGTATAAACTTGAATTCGTAAATTTACGCGTAACGCTTTCTGCACTTCAACTTTAGCAGCAGCTGTGCCTACATTCGAATATTCACTGAACGAATTTTCATTTAATTCTCTTCCTTTCTAACAAGTGTCACCATCAATTTTTTTTTGCCTGTTGAAAAATTTAAAAAGATTATATTTTAGTTTCAGTTTTAAAACTAATTATTGAAGCCTGTTACATTGCAAAAATCGCTAAATATAGTTTACTGAAATTATTACAGAAACTTGAATTATATAAAATAAAGCAATGATAATTAGCTTGCATTATATAGGTGGATAATTAACGATGCGGTTTAATCGAAGCGAAAAGTGCACTCCTGGAAGATTTATCTTTGGAAATATGCGGTTTTAATGGTTTGTCGTTAACAACAGAGAGTTGTATTTTATATAAATTAATGGTTGTAATCGACCGATGATTACTTACTTGTAAAATTATCCGCGCGTTGCGATGGGTGTAACTTTTTTTTGCATCGCTATAAACATGCTAGCAGGACTTTTTATTGCAAAAGCGCGCAATTACACGTACGAAGATAATTCACCTAACGGGAATGCGAAAAAGAGCTCTTTTCATTTTTACCTCTAAACAGAAATAATATAAACATTTCCAAGGAGCGTCCGTTAACGCAAAAGTGCCTTTCTTTAATTACACTTTGGGTCACGGCCGATGCTGTTTAATGCTGTTTACATACCATTCTCGTTGCTCGTAACAGATTTATCTTGACATTGCAAATTGACGTTTTTTTCTTAAATTAATTATCTTCACGTCGACAACTGACATACAATAAAAAACACATAAGATACTAATTAAAATGATGTTTTTATCGCATTTTAATAAGGTCCACTTAATAGCAATAATCTCGTTCCATTTTTAGCTTATTCATAACAAGACGATAACTTATTTATTAGAATCTGTCTATAATGGAGCATCGTAGGTTAGTAGCCTTTTATCTCTTATTACATGCAGTTTATATACAAAGAAAAAAAGATATTTTACATATTATTATAAAGATTTCATTTCAGTTTTTAAATATTTTAAATTTTTGTTTTCTGAAAAATATAGAGATTACAATGATGTAACTACAAAGATGGCATTATTTCATTATATATAAACAATGTGTTACTTATTTTTCTTTTAATGTGAATAGTACTGATTACAATGATGTAATTACAACAAGGATGGCATTAATCTAAATCATGGGTAGGAATTTGATATGCCTGATTTCTAAGAAATTTGTAAATAACTGGTTTTATATCCATAAACCACGATTTTGTATGCTTAATACTCTTAACGACATCACTAGAAAGTCGTTTGGAAGTACTTAGTTTTCAGTGTCATTTTATACAATGGTTAAAAGAAAATAGTTGAATTATTAAGGTATACGTGTAGGTCAAGGTCTAACACTGAAAATGAATACAAAATATTGTCTTTCAAAACTTACAAAATATTATTGCTGTTTACTGAATAATTAATTAAGTATGTATATTAAATAAGTTAAAAAATTTAAGAAACAAAGTTCGTATAATTAAAAAGTTAACACACTAAAAGTTGATTCCATTCAAGTCTATGCTAAACTAGTTACAAAGATTCCTTGCTATCTATCTGTAGATCTCCAAATTTTTCATTTTTGTTTATTATATGAAGGATTAAAGAATTGAGAGTTAATTTATATCTAGTTGAATTGTGTTAATAAAACGGTATATTAAGAAAGTAATCCTTGTAATTTAAGTGAAACAAATGTCGCTAAATGTAGAAATGAAAAGGCTACTTTTACGATAATTTCCCCGTAATTCTTATCTTTAAAACAATAGCCTAAATCTAAAGAGAGAAGGAGAGAGATATATCAGTTGGCATGCGATGTTTAGTGTCAGATCTTTTCGTGGATCTTTTCCGTGTGCAGTAATTTCAGAGTAGAAATTATTTCGACCAGGACATACGAGAAATCGCAAACATCAAATGGAACCACATCAGAGCAACTAGGTGGCATATTACGGACAATCCAAAGTCTTAATTACTGAGCAAATTTCCCATTCCCTTCATACCAACCAAATAACCATTTAGTCAAGTATCAAACGACGCAAAGTTTGCAAATCACATACCGTCCGAAATACTTGGGAATTTAATAAGCCTTTTCAAGTATTGCATTTCAACTATTCATATTACTTAGCATTAAACTACGAACAATATTGTTACAATTTACGTTTTGTTTTTGAAATGTTTGTAATTAAATTATGATTGAATTTATGAGATGGTAGATGAAATATCTTTTGTGTTATTAAATTTAGATGTTCCTTTATATTTTCTATTTTGATTAGGATGCTGAGGTCGTCCCACGGGTCAAGATAAAACATAGCGTTAAGAAATTCGAATCTCGTATATATATTGTATCCAAATTGAATGAACGCATGATTCGAGTTCGATATCGCATAAATATCCTATTAACTATATTAGGTCCGGAAATGTAAGAGCCTCGACTAAGCGTGTTATTATTCCATCGGAACGAGCACCAATAGATCAAGTATTTTTATGGAATTCTTATTCAATATTTTTATTATTATGAATTATGCATTGTGGAAAACCAATAAATCTATTCTTGTATGATTAATGACGGCGTGTATAGCATTACAACTGTGGAAAAATAAAACTCTTTCTTTATAATATTTAGTGTCGAGTTCTGTGAAGTTGCGGAGATTACATTAATTTGGACTGCTTCGGAATTAATTGTTATTTGTGCAATAAGCAATAATCCGATTAATGCGATTACTCCAAGCGTTCTCCGTCATATATATTTATTAATTATGTTGTATGCAAGAGATATAAATTATAAATATGTATGTGATGCGACGGGGTTATCATTCTGGTTGTAAGGAACAATGAACGAAGTGATACTGCTTTCCCCAAAGGACACATGAACTGTTTGGATTAATATGTAAGCGCGACGAACGTATTGATGATAAATAATCAGGTTTGGTGATAATTGAAAGGCATTGAATTTCGTTTCGTATTGAATGGTAATTATGGTGCTTAGTAACAATACAACAAAAAAAAGAAGAGTATTAGAATCACGCGAACGCATAAAGCTTAAAGAGTGCAGCGGTTCCAGAGAGACGAGATAAAGAGGAGAGAAGGTAAAGAAGAAGCAGTCGATTTATCAAAGATCTAAAAGTTACCCACGCGATTGCTCCGGGGTCCAAGGTATAAACAAGTTTATAGAGAACTGAGCTTGAGAGTATAAGGCTTACGTATATATACATATAGTCAATACGCCATAGCAATAGCATGCTAACATATTCACAAACGTTCAAGCTGTTAGTTAGCTATCTACTTAGCGATCTCGTAAAATAAATTAAGGTAATTAAGAGAATCATGTCACAAGATTCCTCTTTAATGATATGTTGGTCCAGATGAATCTCACTCGTTAATTACTCTCAAGTACATGACTACATTATTTAGATGCGTATATGCTCTTAGCCTCCTTACTCTTACACAATTAAACACAAAATGACCTTTATCTCTCCACTTAAAGTTAATTTAATTGCGGAGCTCAAAAATGATTATGCAAATAGATTTCCGCGATCGAAAAAATGGATAGCGCACAACGCAACTTCCAAGGCTCGTTTAACCGGATCGAAGAGAAGGAAAGGGTATAATGGAAAATCCCTTTCATTAAGCACAAACTTAAAATAACAACGCGCCAATTCCAATTCCGATTAAATGCAATTTTTTAAAAGTGGAGAAATCG